AGCTGCCATGCCTTCTAGCTCATGGGTGTGTCCTTAGTGTTTTATGAAGTGCATAGCTGGGTTGTCTTGAAGAATTAAATGCCAGGGAATCTCTTGGAAGATTTGAAGGAAATTGGTTTAAGTCATTGAAATTTGTCAGCAATAAAGTGAAACATTGTAGAAATATGGACAAATATTTAGTAACCATGTGTTGAGAGTGTCTCATTAACTGATAACAAATTGTTCTGTTGCATGTTATCTGTTCTGGGGATATGCTTCTGTTTCTTCTCATGCTTATACTAACTGTAAAGCAGGACGATTTGAAAGATTCCTTTGCATATCTAGATCACGATCTAATGCTGGGAAGCAATGGAATATCTTCTTAGCAACAGCAGAGTTAGTGGAAGTGTTGGTGCTCAGTCATGGGCTGATAAAGGTAAGTAGTAGATGGAAATATTTTGTGTTGGAAAAGTTTGTAACAATATTGTTCCATCCAACACTTCCAACATAATTTTGTTTTTAAACATAGAAGGAACCATTATGTGTTGAGATAGCTGTCAGCAGGGTGAGAGTCCTAAACCTGTAGAGGTGTTACCAGCACAATTGTTAGCTTTCACAGTCCTGCCCACCCTGGGGAGCTGGGTTAAACATAAATAATGTAGATGGTAACAAGGCTGGAAGTTTAGTTAGAGGTAAAAATGTCTAGTGGTAAGGTAGATGACCTTTGACAGGAAAGGGGAAAGCTATACCAAGATGTCCATATCTTGAAATTCACTTAGATCTCTCGCGTAAAACTAGTTCTTGCTGGATCCTAGATGGGAGGTATGCAAGAAGTCATGGATGCGCTGGTGAAAATTCAGTGAGGAATACTCTTCTTCTGTGCTGGTAGTAATCAAATAGCTTGTCAGGTGTTAGAGGGCAGTGGTAAATGTTTTATTTTTGGTAAATAAAATTGAGGGTCTTGGTTCTTTTTTGTGTAAAGCAATATGCAAATTTTAATATAAAATTAAAGACTTTCTGGCCTTGCTCGCTTCATGTATAGCTGAACATTTTAGTTGATTTAGTTGACCATCTAGTTGATCAACTGACTAATAGATGTAAATTTAATAAAATGCAATACTTTTCAAAACCTAGAGTGATTTTGTATAAATTATGTCAAAATAAGGCGATTTAAAACATCTAGCCTCCTCTTCTACTGTAAGCCAGATCCATTATTCTGGGAAGCTGCCTGCCTGCATTTTTTTTATTCCAAAATAAGAAAAAATTAATAGATGCTTAGGTTTAAAGACCAAAATGTGCCATTGCGTGATGTCATTGTTGTTGTGATGGAGATGAAGCGTGATGGTTTGGGTTCTAGATTAAGCTCCAGCACTGTGCTTCCAGCGGAGCTCAACCAGCCACTGCTGCCTGCCCATGGGATGCTGGACTGGGCTCCTGGGTTGGAGCCAGTCCCCAGCTTCATCCTTTCCACTGCTTTTCCTGGTACCCCAGTTGGGAATAAAAGTGAGTTGCTGATTGTGGACTGCTCTGAAAGCCCTCAAATGCCACCTGTATTTCTTTTCATGCCTGTCTGGCTGTGAAGATGGGAGTTGTGTGTTTCTACTTCCCACACATGTTTTCCCTTGGCTAGTTGAGGCAGCTCTGGGTGTGGAATTGCTGGTCCTGTTTAGGTGTCCGTCTGTCACCTTTGTAGACAGCCTCCTTGATACAGCAGTTAGGGTTGTTTCAACCTGTCTCCCTGCAGAGGACTTCAGGTAATGAACAGTCAACCACCTTTCCTCAAATTGTTACTCCTGTATTGCTTTCTACTGGAAATGGCAGAACATCTAGAAATCCTAGGGCAAGCGGTGGCTGCATCCACGGAGGGCAGCTGTACGTCATCTGTGCAGCCAGATAAACATACCTGAACATGTTGCATTTGCTGTGTGTTGCCAAGACAGGTGTTCCTTGCATTAGAATTGCTCGACATTCAAGCTTGAGTGGTTCTGCGCGTGCATAGTTTGGGGCATTGTGATTGATTCAACCCTCCTGTTAGGAGATATCAACCACCCTCCGCTTCCAGTCACTGCGTTTTAGTCTCCCTTCTACTAAAGTTGTTTTTAATTTTTATTGCTATTTATTTACTTACTAATTTAGTCATTGATTATTATAATGCCTAGAATGTGTTATTACTTTATGTGACATCTTACCCTAGGAGATTGTGTTGTGTCTTATAAATCACACAACTGTAACACCACAGAAAAAGTAAAACTTCTGACACAGCTGGAGCTGGAATTACTAAGTTAGTGATAGCAGTTATTTCAGAAAGGATAGTCTCAATATATCATACGCTGTCTATAGCATTGTCATGTTACAGTTTGCTTTGTGGACTGATGTCTATTTATCCATCAGAATATTAATACCGGGCAGCAGGGACAGCAGGAAAGCCCATCATGAGGCTATTTCTAACTTCCAGTTTTAGGGGACAGGTGCATTACAGAAGCAAATACTGAATCTAGTTCAAACAGACAAGCTCCCTTTCTTTTAAAAGGAGAAATACAAGAAATTAGGGTCATGCAGAATTCGATGTGTTCCAGTTGAATGCTAATTGTGACAGTTGTCTGTGGCTTTTAACAGGGGTGGTTTTGTTTAGCTGTAAACATCACGGTCAAATACTTACCTAAAGTGGCTGTGTGTAAACTGGCTTGCACACCAGCTGTGTGGAAGCAGAGTTTGTTTGCTTGAGTAAATTTTTTTTTCTTTGAGTTTGTGTCCGAGTCTGAGCAGATGAAAAATCCCTCTGGAGAGCAAGCCAAAATCTTAAGTGTTGAAAATACGCAAGTGCCTTTCTGTGTGTCTACCTTTCAGCACAAAAAGGTGCTTTTCCACCCTTTGCTGTTGCTGTGCATTATTTTTGGCAGTAGTAGCCCCAAACTTTCTGAACCGATGGCCATGGCAAGTGTCGAGGAAGCTCTGTTCTGCAGTGGCTAATTCCAGCTCTCAGCGTACTTCCCAACTCGCAAGACATTTTTTCCTCATTTTTCCCTTGCATTTTAATTTTCCGCTGTTTTTTTCAGCTCCTTCTTAATTACATGTTAAGATTTAGCCTCCTTTTTATCCCAAGTTCTTTAATTCATAGTAGTATTTTCTGTGACTTGCTGTCATAGAAAAAAGGGCTTTAGAGGACCTTACGAGCTCGTGTAATCCATTTCACTACCTCAAGGAAAAAACTACTCTTTTTAGACCAAATCTGGCAGCCTGAAGTCTCACCTATTTTTAAGAACCTCCAACGAAGCAGATTGTGTGACCTCTTTGGGTGATCAGTCTAGCACCTTGCTTTTTTAATACTGTTCCTAAGATCCTGCCTGTTGCAGTTTAAGTCAGATTCCTTCACCAAAATGTCTCTGAAAACCCTCTCCAGAGCAAACCGTGTTGCCAATTCAAAAGCTGTTCTGCCCAGATCTCTCTAGTCCATGCTTTTTGTTTCGCTGTCTGTTTTCGAGATTAACCTCTTGACCCTTAGGGCATTTGCAAATCAGTTAATTTTAGTTCTGTCTCATCGTGTGATCCATACAGGTAGTATTGCCTTGTTTGCATCGGTTGAGACCTAAATTTGCGGCTGCGCTCTTGCTGTGTTACAACCGCAACCTGCCGCGGACAGTCTCCTCCCTGAAAGCATGCGCAGTCTGAAAAGCTTGGTCTTGTAGAAAAAGGCTGAGCTACGTTGTCCTTATCATCCCTGAACACAGTGGCCCCCTCTTCATTTCAGCATTCTGTTTGGAGACACTGCTGTGGCATTTAATCTCTTCCTGGGCTGGTCTGAGCTGGCACCTTGAGTTGTCCCTTTGCCTGTTTTGGTGTCTACTCTCCTGAATTAGGAGGATCCCTCTCTCCTCTTGCTGATTTGCCATTATATATGGAAGTTGCTTTTTGTCTGTGACTGGGTAAAGTAGCAGTTTTCTCTTGTACCATATTTTTAAAGATCTCTGCTTAAGTACGGCTTTTTAAACGTGGTTGTTTTTTTTTTTTTCCTCGCTGCTTTGGTTTAATTCTATGAAGCAATCTGCGATTTCGTTTGTGAAGGATACTATACGTAAAAAAAATTTGCCTTGTAACTTGGATAGCCCCATAGCAAATAAGTTGGCATTGCACATTTTCTGACTTGCAGGTACAAGCTTGGACCCAGGGAGCGTAGCCAGGAGGGGCTGGAAGGCAAAGCTGTGATGACATGTTCAGTATCCAGGTGGAGGGCCAAGAGGGCAGCTGCGTGGTGCTGGGTTGCATTCCAATGTGCTGATCCGTGGAACAGCGTTGGCATACACTTTGGAAGCTGCTGCTTGCTCTCCTGGCTGTAGGGAAGGGGCTGAGGTGATGGCAGGGAAGGAAGGGGTGAGTCTTTGCAGAATATTTTTGTATGATCGTGGCCTATTCTGAGCAGGCTGGATGCATTTCTTTGTGGTGTCGTTGTGTACCATGCTGTCTCTGGTAGCACAAAAGTTAATTACTCCAGGGTGGGTTGTTGAGATTTTTTTTTTTCTCCTTTATTCCTGAGCTACTTAAGTTGTAGGGAAGTTATGTTTTCTCACTATTTGGGGGCTTAATGGGGTGGAGGTAGGGCTTTGGAAACAGTTTAACAATTTCACATTTTATGTGCTGTAATGAATTTCCCAGGATTTTGGACAGGTTGTATCCAACTTTAGTATCGTAATTTCCAGAGTTTTATTTATGCTAAAATAAGTTAGTGGTGGGTTAAGAGGCACAAAGAGCCAACAGATTACCAAATGAACTAACGAAGACATTGTTTCTTTTGGATTAAGAGCTCACAGTTGTGACTTGTACTGAAGTACTGCAGACCATGAGTTTCATCAGGACCGCAAGCTGGCAATGGGGTTCCTCTTCCCTCCACTGTTATTTCAAACCTGTGTTTGATTTCAGGTGCAGAAAAGAGAGGGTTTGCAAGGACCAGAAACAACTCTGAATCTGCAAGAACTCCCCAGAACTTCGATAGGAAGAGGCAACTCTCTGAATCGCAGACAGAAACAATGAACAATTCAGACAGCAGAATAAATCCTAGACAACTGGGAACTCCCAGAGGTATTAAAGCAGAGTGCATACACGCTTCAGGAATAAGCTGCCTTGAAGCATGTGCTCAGCACTATGAAAAGATGGGCTTGTTTGAATGCTCTTAACTCTAAAATGAGCTGTAAAAAACTGTCGATTATTTGTAAAATAATATAATTCCAGGCTTTTTGGTTCTCTGAAGTCGGATGCCTGTATTTCTAAGCAAACTGTTCTCAGAAGTTCAACTTTCAATACAAAGCCTCGGTACAACTGCTGTTAAGATACATAGACAGTTTGGTGGGCAAGGTAACACTTACGAATTTTTGTTTGCAGGAGGATCCTATACTGCTGTCCCAACATCAGGTGATAGAAAGAATCGAAATAAACCCACTCGAGGGAGGAAGAAGAGTATATTTGAAGCCTACATGTCAAAAGAAGATAAAAAAAAGAGAGCTAATTCAGGTGCCTGGAACATACAACGTCTGTGATCTTGTGATAAGTCTGTGGAAATCACAGGCAGTTGTTGGAAATGCATGTCAGTTGGTTGCATGAAAAGGAATTGGTGTACCACTTGTAGATGTTAGAGGAAGATTTTTTTTCCCTTTCTCAGGAGGTTCTAGAAGTGGAATGAAATGTTTTAAGTTCAGCTGAAGTATTGTTTTTGGTTTGCATGTTCTGTAAAACTCCTGATCCACAGACATGATGAATTGCAGAGTTCTGGTTGGATGGTCTGCTATCCATGATAGTCATTATTGTGGAGACACTTGCTTTTACAAATGATGCTCAAAACCACAGCAGGTGCTGCAGCCTCTGTCAGTGTGAGTAAAAATGAATGCCCTTAACAAGATACTTCTTGCTGAAATTCCTCACAAAGACATTCATTAGGCCTCTGTAACGCAGTGCAGATGCCTCAGCTTCCAGATCTACTCTTCTTTTTTTTTTTCAGTCTATCAACTCTTCCCAGAATTCTCCCTCCCACAAAAAAAAGGGAGAACGATGATGCGGGTAATGCTGTGGTCTCTAGGGTCTCACATGGCTTTGCCTACCAGGGCATTGCAATAACGTGTTATAAACTATGATGCAACTGGTTAAATTAATATCAAATGGCCAGGCAGTGGTGCTGGACCCTTGATTTACTTGCATAATTTTCTTTGCACTCCCCTAAGATCACAGGGTTGACCCAGCCACTGATGCCAGTGTGTGGTTTACTGAAGTAAGGTACAGATCGCAGATGTAGCTGAAGAGCCCATCAAGATACTGAAAATCGTTTCCATCTCTGTGTATCGTTATTTGCCTTGAACAGCTAGCAATAAGCTTGTTCTCATTTTACAGACGCTAAAGATCAAAGATCGGACTTTGTGCTTCCATTTGGAGCAGCAAAACTGCAGCCATAATTAGGCAACAATTCTCTGAATATCTAGCAAAATGTGGGGGTGGACCTGCCATTTGTGTGGGTAGCTGGATCTCAGAAGAAATTTTGTGTAAAAGCAGGCAGAGCTGAGGTTCACTGAGGATTACAAGAGGATGTTGTCCTAGAACCACTGTTGTAGTACTATCCTCAGCACGGTGTAATGTTCTTCAGGACGCACCCGGCATCCCAGTGAGATCAGACTGGCTGGGGAAAAAATGTAGGTGGATGTCAGTGAGGGTGTGATGGACACTCGTGCTGAGGTGTCATTTACCCAAACACACACTGGTGTATTGCTGTTTAATTAGTGTTGTAATGCTGGTGAGATTGTTATGCTTATTTTCATCAATACAATTAGTGATCTTGCTTTTTGTCTGATTTCTTGTTATACTAGTATATAGTAATTCTTGTAATAGTAATTCTTGTATAATAATATAGTGGCATAATTTCTGGAGGAGTGATGAGGATGTTGCATATAAGACTGCCTGATTCTCTCCTGAAGACAAATCTGATCAGCTCTTAGCTTTCAGAAAAATGATACTGTGGCTGATAATCAGGCTGGTTCACTGGACTACCCAGACCATAGGCCAGGGCCCTTTTTAAAACCATCATAGATGTCTACACTGGGAAGTAAATGGTGAGGGAAGAAATGAGAGCCTTGAGCTGTGACTTCCCCCCGTCGGCTGCAGTGGCATATGGCAGCAACTAAAGCTTCTGCCTTACCTTCAGGAGTGGTTTTGGCACCCGTTGTCAGTAACGCAGCCTGATAGCATTGTGTGTAGACTGCCTATGAGGTCGAGTGCAGCTGCAGATGAGGCACCATCAGACTATGACTACTACCTGAGAATCCCATTGAAATGCTGAGTCCCGGAGGACCTGTGATTGCATGCTCTCTGGCAAAAGAATCTCTAATTCTTGTAAATGCGTAGTGTCTACTCCAGGTCATGTGCTGTGTAAGTGGAAGAGTCATATGTGCTTTCTTAGGCTGTATCTGTTTTCCTTTCATCCAGTTCCACATCTCGGGGAAGTGGAAGGCTGTAGAAGCTGGATTTAATAATTTAGGGCTGTCAGGTCATGGGCATCCCAGCTCAGTATCTCTCATCATCTGCTCATTCATCTTTCTGGCCTAAACCAGGATAGGTGAGATCCTGAAAAGAGCTTTAGTGAATGAAGAAATATTCAGCACTGCTCTGTGCAATGGCAAGAGACATAGTGAACAAATACCTGTTGTGTTAATCACCAAAAGCATGGCATTGGTCTGGCATAGTAACCTGCAAAAATGCTCCACAGGAGCCTGCAGAAGAGGAGAATGAACCTGCTAGTCTGAATCTGATGGTCCTGAGCAAACTTCAGTGCTATCCAGACAGAAGCACGACTCTGAGCAGGGGGTATCCCCTGGAGCATCCTGGAAGCACTGGATCTACATTTATTTGAGTGAGAACTGAGAGAACTGTTAGGGACCCTACTGTGAACTCTGAGTGTGGTGCTGGACCCTGCAGTGGAACTACACAACTAAATGCTCCTGGAAGCCAAACCCACGGAAACTACCAGCAGCCATGAAGATCACTCAGATAAAATATGAACACCATGAAGACTAAGCAGTCCTAGATCAGGAAGAACAAAAGTGTTATCTTTATGGGTGCTGACGTCTGTCAATAATACTAGTCTTAATGGCTTCTGGTACTGTATCTGACATAGCTCAGTTGTTGATAAGTAGCATGGAGAAGTATACCCTGTGGGATTCCTGGACTCATTTAATCATGGGATGTGTATGGAAATGTCCTTCCACAAGAAAGAGGATCTGAGCTCAGATGCTTAAGAGTGCGTAGACTTCCTGTTTCTCTGCCTCTAAAACTGCCTGCAGTGAGCAAACACCAAGCGTATCAGGTTGGTTGAAATCACGTCGGCCGGTCTGAAGGCAAACAAGATTAAGTTCTGCATAGATATGTAAGCGGATGGTGTTGGCTATACACAACAGATGAAGTCAGGTTATGTATTAAGGACCATTGACCCAAAGGACCATAATCATCCTGTGAAGCGCCAGCCAGAAATTCATGTCTGCTCCACGCCTCCAGTGTCTCCCAGACCCTCCCTGCAGGGCTGCTGGGGTCAGGCGGAGGGAGAATGCGCAGCATGCGGAGATGCAGAGACTGCTTCACTGTTAAGAGGGTGTTTTTCCTTGGAAGGCTGTTCCTTTGTGGGTATGAAGGCTGGGGTTTCCCTGGTTTTCATGGATTGTTTTTTCAAAGGTGGCCTTAGTAGCAAGCCTTGAACCCTGGCCTTTTTTGGTGTTTCATACATACAAACCTATCTAGGCATATGTGTTATGATAGCTGTTATAAACCGCTTGATATGAGATGCTTGAAGTTTAGTCTGAGCGTTGCCTGCCCTGGTTCTAGCAGAGCAGCTTGAGAAATCACGACCCTTTTGTATCTTGCTGGGGAAGCTCAATAAGGTTAGAAACGTTTTTGGCAAGTTTGTGTGAAGCTGACTTGAGTCATCAGAAAGTGTTTTAGAAACCTTCCTGCAAACCATTCTCTTCCCTTTCAAAACAAAGGCCCTACTGACATAAAAACACTGATAAATATAGCAGCTATTATTTGCAAGCTATTGTAAAATAATACAACATTAGTGTGACATCATGAGACTCGGCAGCCAGATCCTCACCCCCTAATACACATATGAGAACAGTTGTTCATTGCAGATGGGGAGAGTGACTGGTTCCAGATATGATATCACAGCGTGAAATGTACAACATTGTAAATAGGATTTTCATAGGCACAGATAATAGGGCCCATCTGCTTTCTAAGATAAATTTTGGGAGTTCCTTGCTTAAAGGAAAGAGCTGAAGTATTTTAATGCTACTTGACGTAAGAATTCTAATGCTGATCATAATTAGGTAGTGCATATAAAATGCAGAGAAACCTGCTGCACTGTAAACATGGTAACACTTTGCTCCTCTCTGCATTTGCCTGAGCTGGGCATCCATGTGCACGTAGCCGCTCTGGCGCCTTCTGGGCCATGGACACAAAACCTGATTTTCCATGCGCATAATGGGCATTTGCACCTGGCTGATTGACAGCTGTCCTGAACTATTCAAGGGGGTTCTACAGAGTAACGCAGGATATCCCCTCATCTGCTTTGTGCTGGTGGGTAGATTCTGGTATGGGAATTATTTGACTCCTTGTCAAGCAGAGCAACCCTCCCTTTTCATTTTTTCCTTTCTCTCTGTACCAGCTTCCTTTACTAACAGCATATTGTTTTTGATGGCTGATTCTGAGAAATAGCGGGGGAAAAAAAGACCATTGAGAGTTTTCCATCAGTGGGTACCAGCTATAATAGAGGCTGATGACAGCGAGTTAGCTCTCACTTTGCCTAAGCATAAAGTATCCCCAGGGTTGCTCCCAGTGGGTCGGCTTTGTTTTCGTGCCGTTGTCCTGCGTTGTGCCTGCCATGTGGCTAGTGTGCTCGTTAATACTAGTTACGTAAGGCTCAAAATAAGATGTTGCAGCAAAATATTCAAGTAACGCTTAAAGAATATAGAGTATATGGTGCAGGTGTTTCCAAATTTAAGCAAATAAAAACAATGGAAAACCTTCATAAATCTGCAAATTCTTCTTCAAGGCAGCAAAACTTTCACATGTAATCAGCTTTATTTTCCTATCGTCTGAGTGTTTCCCAGAATACATAAAAAAATTATATGCCGCAGTATATTTTTAAGGAAGCAATTCCTGTGAGAGGTTCCTATGATTGCTTAACACAGAAGTGCAAACAGATGGAATCTGTTCATATAACAAATTGGCCAACATTATTTCAAATACACAAGTAGAGAAAGTTTTAAAGTTTCAGCCCAAAGCAGATGCCTGTCTGAAGGCAGATACCTAGTTGTGTTTCCGTAAGAATCAAATGCTGTCGATTTTAACTGCAGCCACCTGAATCACAATTCCCAGGACCCTCTTGGGATGGGAACGGCACTGTTGCGTAGCCTCTAAGTCCTTGATTGGCTCTCCCTTTCTCTTGGATGGACCTGAGCGCAAGCAGCAAAACTGGCTGGTTTATTTTGGAGGGGTTGCGGGTTTGTTGCGGGTGACGAGCTTTGAGTTGGCAGATAACAAAGCAGAAATAGATAGACCATGGAGTTTCAAATGTATTTAAGATAGCTTGACTTTAAATGTGCTTAAACAGAATTTAATCCTGTAGATTTTAAATGTTTGTTTTTGGAAAATCCTTCTCACTTTTCTTTGGAAATGTTCTTTATCACAGAGTTACTGCTACTGTCTGTTTGCAGGAACAGCCTAAGCAGCCAGAGCCCCATAAGGCTGGTACCTGCTGCCATGCAAGCTCAGCAGGTCAGCTTTTCCTCTTTCCTCCCATCCTCCAAAATAAGCAAAACCAACATTCTGCTTTTCCAAAACAGAGCAAAACAAATTGTTTTTATTGTCTGTTTGTTAATGAAGTTGGTGGATGCTCGGCAGAAGGGGAAGGGAACAGGCAGGACTTGGGTCCTCAGTTCACTCAGTAGCAGCAGCAGCAACTAGTGATTCAACATCTCTTCGATGACAGACTGCAGTAGATCAGCTTAAGCCTATCATGAAACTGCCTTTTGGCTTGAAATTGCTCGGATGCTAAGTTGTCAAGAATTGAAATATATAATGGAAATTTAGATGTATCTCTCATGTTTCACAGTAGATATATTACCCACAGGTCTCTAATTTAACTGATGTTATATAAAATTAATAAGATTCAGGCATAATCTTTCTCCTTCTTCTCTTTTTTTTTAAGGGACCCTTGAGAATAAATCCTAAGAAGTACCATGAAGCCTTCATTCCATCTCCAGTAAGTGTAATTTTATAATGCTTTAAAGTTCATAAGTAAAGGTGCATTAAGATAGGAGTTATGCTGTGCACAAAAGGTCACTCGGAGGTGAATGAGTTGGAATGAATGAAAATGATCTGGATTTTCTTTTAAATCAAATATTCCCAAACAAACCCTGCTTTTTCATACCTCGAAGAACTGCTTACTTAGCTTGTGCTGAAATTGGGGATACCATGGGGTCTCACAGAAGCCAGCTGAAGTCAGGTTCGAGGACCACCAGATAGCGTAATTGGAAACCCTTGGTTTATGGCTGCAGAGGTTTTATAGATTTTCCACTGATTTAAGTTAATCTTCCCTTAACAAATATGCTCTCCATTTTCGATCTGCTGCATGAGCTAATTTGAAAAGTCATTCCAGAAATAATATGCGTGATTCCTTTTCATGTGCCCGCTTTTGCACGAACTGTGTCTTGGTTGGCTTGGGATGTGCTTCTGTCACATGGGACTGGCTTGCGCTTCTTCTCTCTTCTTTCGTTATTTCAACAGAAAAGAAGGGCTCTTGCAATTTCAGGGACTTCCAGTAGGGAAGGTGACCTCACAGCTGGCACAGCCAAAGCTTTTTATCTGGAACTGACTTGGTCAAAATGTTACTGTCAGTGAGAGAGAGTTTCATATTGAAATGTTTGGTTGATGTGGGGGAGAGAAAGCAGAGCCTGTCCTGAGACAGTGAAACACTGACTGTTGTTGTCCTTGCTACTGAGAGCACTATTGTTTTGGGGCTTGGATTGAAAGCCTTGAAATTCCTGGCATTGTCAGTTCACGTTGTTCAGTTGGGATAATGTTTTGGAGCCCACTTTGTTAGAGAAGACTGGACAGGGGTGGAGCAAAGTTGGGGGTGCATGAAGTATATTAACTAGAGGAAGAAGTACAGAGCAGCTGCGTGTGTAAGTGGGAAAGGAACTGTGATCCTTCCTTTACAGGTGTCCTTGTGGGTGTGGTAAGTGTAAGCTGTTAAACACATTCTCTGAAATTACAAAATGCAAGGTTAAATGAGAAATCCAGCTACTCACAGGAGTTTAGTTGGATGTGAAGCTTTACCCCGAATCACCCCTAGTGTCCATCTGTTGCCTTGTGCAGTCGATTGTTCACTGTTCTGCATGCTGGAATACATACATTAAGGAGGGTTAGCAGAGGTCGTTATCTCAGCTATCTTTCTACTTTTCTGCCCTTTGTGGAGCTGAATACCAGAGCCAGCCTTGTCCCTGATAACAAACAGAATCAACACCTGGATGAAGATGACTCTGGCTGGTGTGGACACAGTCCTCACTTTAAGACAAATGCTTTATCTTATCTTTTGTATAACATTATTTGCCATAATGGAGGGTTTGCAGCCTTCATGTTCTTCAGGACTTCCCATCGTTGCCAGATGCTGCAAGAGCTGCAGCTGTGAGAAATCACCCTTTCTCTCCTGCTGTTGACTAGGGCACTGTACCCCTTTCTCTTCAGCTCTGACTTGGCTATGACTTCACGGAGTTCAAATGCAACAGCTGTTCACCTTCTAACACCAGAAGTCCCATCGTGTTTCTTGCTGCAAATGTGCTGTCTCCTTGTCTCATTGTTGCATGAAGAGTCCACCCAGAGAAGGGACCCAAGCATTTAAATCTCTGCCTTGCATCTCGTGTCTTCCCTGCACACAGTAGTGTGGTTTGAAATGACGGCATTGTCAATGTGAAGAATGATACTGCTGAGCGCGAGTGATGGAATGGCTGTGCTGCGCTTGTGGAAGACACTTCCAGAGCAGATGAAAGCACTGCAGATCTCCCTCTTGTCAGACGTGGATAGAGCGTGCTGCCAGTGATAGTCACAGGTGGCCACGGAGCGGTGAAAGCCCCGTGCTCTGTGGGGGAGGCTGCAGAAGTCTTGAAGCCATTGCGGCCAATACAGTATATGCACCCCGAGGGCAGCTGAAACACTGCAAGTGATTGTGTTCTGTGGCGACTTGGTGCCAATTTAATTGCATTAGTAGTCTGAAGTGCCAGCTGTGCAGAGTAGGGAATGCTGAAGGAAAAAGTGGGATGCACAAGTGTTCTTGGAAGTGTGTAAATTTGCTCAACAATCGTGAGCCTGGAGCTCAAGATATAAAAAATGTTTCTTTTTGGAGGCAAAACCAAAACTGATGGCAATTTCCTAATTACAGCTTTGTTGCAGGCATTGAAATTAACTGCTGTAAAATAGGTGTGCATACACATATGTAAGTATACATATAAATACAGGGGTATATTCTTTAGGATGAGAGTGACTGGCTGCAATTCAAGACAAGACTCTTGCAGAGTATGGAGACGCAGCTTTACCTAGGTGGTGTGACACATTGGGCAGCTTTACGGGGTGGGGAAAAGGGTCTGCCTTGTCTTTTCTTGGACATGAGAGAAAGAAAAAAGTGTAGAATAAACAAATTATCATGAATGCCAGCCTGTGTCCTGCAGCACAGAGCAGCTACAGGTACAGACAGAGGAAAAAAGCATGCATTTTCCTTAAAAAGTGACTTTGAACTTTTCTTTTTATGTATGTGATGGATTTAGGCAAAGAGTTGGGGCAGAAGGAAGAGGGTGGGGAGAAATGAGGAATAAGACCATGTGTAAAAAATCTGGCTTTTTGAAAAGAACAGTTTCCAATTTGAATTATGTTGGTCCAAGAGGCTTTGCAATTTTTCTGCATCTTGTCATGGGAGGCAGCTTTCACACAGCTGTTGAGCTGCTGCTGCTTTTCTTTCTAAGAGTAATTTGGTCTCTTGGAGGACAGCCTTAGTTTCACATCATGGCAGGGTTCTGCCGTTTTATTGTTTTGGTATCTAAGCAGAATAAGATATTTATGTGATATTACGGCTTCATGTTTTCAGGTTATAAAAGTTTTTCTTGGAGACTGAGCACACTGGTAGTTCTGATTGGATTTACTCAAGCATATGAGACTCAGGAGTGTGTATCTGAGAAGTGACTACAGTTGTGATTAAGATTTTAATTCTTGTGATGTTTTTTTTTCAGTGAAGGACAATGAAGTACTAATCTAAAGAAACTCATCCTCTTTTTTTTTTTTTGTACCTCAAACCTATGCAAAGATAGTTCTCTCTAGAAAAACTATGTTGACTGCTAATGTTGATACTAAATGCTCACATTGTCTGATGTGATCATGGCACTGTAAACAGACACATGGAATTTTTCATATGCTGAATTATGGGGAGACAGGAGAGCAGTAAGAGCACTGCCAATAATTAGCCCCCCAAAAAAGGACAAAACTGGCAATCCTTTAAAACTAAAACCTTTGTGTTGGCATCTTCAGGAAACTTCATCTTTATTCACCCCATGAAGAAGATCTTCCAAACTAAATCTAGATTAGCTGAATGCCAGACATGTCTGGGATGGGTAATCATAGTGTGTACAATTAGTAGAGGCTCTTGTGCAAGGATCTTAACCCAGAGTATTGAGAGGCGTCCTAACATGTCTGTTACAGTAAAAGATCTTCTGGCTTGCAGTTGGCATCCATAGTTATCATTTTTTGGAATCTCTTCTAACATTCGTTGTGCCAAATCCAGAATGGATGGTGTTAACTCATTTAAAAAAAGAGACTGCATCCCCAGCCACTCTCCAGGCCACCTTTGCAGACTGACCTGCTGATCCCGGAGCTGCATGTCCCTGCTTTCCTATCGCACCAGGAGAGCAGCAGACAGCTCTGCATGGGACACTTTGCAGAGACTGTCTTGTAAACATGTTCTGAACTGTAGCTTTGAGTGCTTGAGTTGGGAACATCATGTGTGAAGAGCTGTGAGTGCAGAAAACTCTCTACCCATTCCCAAGACTAACTGCAGAGGAACTGAGCGGAGCTTGCAGGCAATACATCTTGAGGGCTTGGCTCTATCTTGAATAAATAGTGTGGAACTACTGTGCTGGCACATACATACGAAGGAGCTTATTTGCTGAAAGATATTGCATGTTGAAGGGCATATGGTGAATCCATTTCATTTCTGTGCACAACGGCGGGATGTTTGTCTCACCAGGGTGTGTGTCTTTTTCGATGACAGTGTTTTAAACCTCATAACAACCGTAATTTAATATGTTTTGGTCTGGAATTTATTTTTCTTCTTTTTTGACTAGGATGGGACTCGCGATATATTTATTGATGGAGTGGTTGCTCGCAACAGAGCCCTGAATGGTGACATCGTGGTAGTGAAACTGCTTCCCAAGGAGCAATGGAAGGTCAGTTCGGTATATTTTTCTGTGATTTGACAGAAAGAGCTTTTTACTGTTTTCTTCACTAAACTTAGGGCCTGAGACAGGGAACAGAGAATTTTCTGCAAATCAGATTAGCTAAATTGTGGTTTATGCTGCTGTGGATTAAAACACTTGATCCATTACGATATTTGGAAGAAGTGATGCCTAAAGTGTTGAAACCTCACTGTTTGCATGGAATGTCCTTCTTTATCACTGTATGGAGAAGTCTGATGACAGGGCTGGTTCAAAGCATGGTTGTCAAAGGTAACTTCTGATATCTGTTACTTAGCTGTCTTCATGCTACGGCATTGGATAGCTCTGGGTAGGTGTTTGCAATCGCTCCTGTATTTGATAAGTGCTGTTCCCAAAACTTTAGTCATAATTAACTTTAATTTGTGGGTCCTCAATCCATGGAAAGCTTATCTTGTCACAGCTCCAGACTTTGTGGTAATACCCTTCTTTACATGAATGAAGAATGTGTGAAATGACTGGAGCAATGCAAATGTGGGACAATCCATTTTTCATTTTCATGTCTGAGAATTTTACTAAGATCACTCTCTGGGGTTTTGTGTTTTTTTCTTTCAAGCTCAAAGTTCTTTCAAACGTCTGGATAATTTTTATCTTGTTTGCAGGTTTATCTTTTAACACCGCTATGCAAGGAAAGTTTTTATTCCTTTTCTCTAGTTGCTGGGAGATGTAATGTACAGTTAGCAATTTTAACATGGATTTTCACACGTAAGCATGATAGAACTGCTACAAATTGTTTTCCAAACATGGTTTTTGAATTCTTCTTGAGAATTTAAAGACTATTGTATATCTTTGGGCAAAAGTAATAATGAGGGTGATTCCAGCAGGGTGGGGAATGGTCTGAGGTACTTTGACCCTGGTGCTTTTCACTCATTCTGCATACCTTCTCTGCCTGTCTTTGTTTGAAGTTATGTGATTTTGGGCTTGCAAATGCAAGGTCTTCAGTCTGGTCATTTGCTGAACCTTCTGCCTTCTCTGTTTAAATCTAATAGCAATTGAAATGATGGTTTGAAACATACTAGAACTTGTCTCTTCCTTTTAGCTATGTATAAAATAAGTAAATGACCTAAGCATTTATTGACACATGTAAACGCAAAACTACGTTATACAAAAGGCAATCATAAGCAGGATCTAAGATGTCACAGATATATCCATATACAAATATAGGACAGAGGTCTGCTGCTATCTGTGTAACCTCTGAAAACCAGCTTTGAGGGTCAAAGCAAAATTTCTTTGATAGCTATTCAAGAGTCCAAATCAGAGTTCACTAAAGCTGTGATGATTACTGTATCTTTGGATCACCAAATCCATAGACGTAAATTATCTTTTGTATTAGACCATTTCATATAGTTGGAAAAATGGAATAGTCTGGGCACTTAGATCCTCTGCCAGGACCTGCCAGCACAAGGGCCTCTTTGTAGACTTGATAGAGGTTGCCTGAGCTGGAAGCTTCATCTGCAGTTTTCCATTTATATCTGGCTCTAAACAAAGATAACGCCTCTCTCGCTTTCTTATATCTTCATACCTTCATATGTTCAACAATAATGTTTTTTTATCGATACAAGAGGAAGGGTTCAGAATATTAGCCCTGTCCTGGGCAAATGCTGAAATAAATAGAACTGGTGGAGAAGTGGTGTCTGACTTCAAGGAGGTAATTCAGAAGACTTCAGTGTTTTGTAGTATGATTATGATTCTTCCGTGGTGAATTTAACCTAACCTTGCCAAATGAAGTAGCTGGAACATGCCAGTTGTGTTTTTCAGCCACACAGGTGCTGCCCTGTGAAGTCTCATTTTTTGTTTCTTGCCATCAGGAACTTAATCAGCGATGACAGCCTTTTTCCCCTGCTCCCTGAATCTCTTGCTATGCGCTCGTGTTTGTATTAGTTCTTTGGGAAAGGTGCCACTAAGTTGCACTGAAAGATATTGCATTCTGCCAAGTAATTCATACTGATTAATGATAAACTGTCGCAACCTATTTTAGGTTTTTCCATTTGTTTAGTCTCATGCTGCTGCAAAGCTGCCACATAGGTGTCTTGAGGGTTTTCTCCTTCCCATTGGGCCTTTGGAACAAGCTGAACAGCTTCAATTATTTCCTTGAAAAATGTAAATCAGATGTATGGTATAACTGGTGCTCTCAGAGGAGACTTTGCAGGCTCTGTACATATTGGTTTGTTAAGATTGAGATATGCGTGCTGATCGTTTTTATGGTTCGCTATTCCCAGCCCATTAGTCTGTGCTTCACTGAGAACTGAGCTGGGTCTTTTGCTGCTAAACTTGTCTTGCACAAGGTAAGGTTGCTGGTGGGTCTCTCTCTTCTGTATTTCAAGCACCCTGGATGGCCCCCACATGCTCTGGGGAAAGATCTTCCCATTCCTAGTGCAGGTGATTCCTGCCATGGACCTCTTCGTGCAAAGTCACAGTGTAACGCTACATCCCAGTCATGGCAGGATCGACTTAACTGGAAGCTCGGTTCAATTTACATAAACGGGAGGAAGAGGGGAAAAAAACTGTGACTGGTAAAACTGTGGGTTTTGTGTAGGGACATCTGTGTGTTTGCTTGAAGAATTGAGAAATTTAGGAGCTGCCCTGTACCCACTGAGTCAGTCTTTGCAGATCAAGTGCCTGTGAGAGAAAAACACCGTCTGCAGAGCAGTTTCTCCAGGGATATACTGTGTTCTGCTGAGCCTGTAATGGTGATACCTTACACACAGGTATAAATGCCACAGTGAAACGTGAGGGAATGTTGAAATACTGTAGGTGTGTGGTTACGCTTTATGTAATACCTTCTTGAGAAGGGATAGCAGTATTTGCTTCCTCCAGCCTTCCACTTCCTGGCTCAATGGTGGGAAATTTATCAGGCTTAAATTTCTCAACATCATGTCCTTCCCAGCGTGCGCATCAAGTGTTTGGATGGTCCTCCCTGTGCTTATTCTGTCTGGTCTTAAACCTCTGTTTGTTCATACATCCTCTGGGAGAGCTGCTTGCTGTTCAACGATGATCAGTTTGTCAGTTCATATTTCTGTGCTTACTACTAGTTCTGATCAGGGGCCAGCAACTTCCGTGTGGCACCACTGGCTCAAGGGAGAGACATTTTGTCGCCAAAACTTGTTATCTTGTGCTCCTGAAGAACGTAGCCATCGGCTTCCTGCCAGGGTTGAGTGGCGTGCGTTGCAGTGACCGCATTTGGAGGCTGTATTTCAGAAGTCTCCCTCCTGTCCTCTTGTGTTACATCTTGGGAATATTGAGGTGCTATGGTAACTTTCAAATATTTAGCTTTTGCAAAGTAAGGTATTTGACTTAGACTGTTTTTCCAGGTACTTAACCTACTCTTAGCGGATGAAGTCAGAGTACGGTTGCAGTCGGCTAGACTGTCCCCTTTGTACTTCAGGCTGTAGGACTTCCGTGAATCTGTGCCTTTATCTTCTGGAAGAACGTCACAATAAAAGATAGCCAGTGACAGAGGATTTACCTCAGTCCTTGTCAATTATTCTGATAAAGAAGAAAAATGGTGCTTTATTTCTTGATTGATTTTCAGTGCTCTAACTTCCACCTGTGGGTTCTTATTATATTTTATGGGGTTGTGCTTACATCAATTTCAGGAGCTTCAATTATACAGTGGCATAATTACTGGAAGGCAAAAAAAAATGTTGATATGATGATTACAGCAATATTTCTCAGGCTCATCAAGGAGGGAAGCAGCGTGTCAGTGTAAAAGATAAACCTAACTCATCTTTCCTCACAGTCTCTTTTTGCTCTTTTACCGTCTGCTTAATTGCCAGACAGAATTTCTTTAATTTCAGATATCTGCTTTGGTTTTTCTTGCAAGATGTAATTTTTTTGGTAGAAGGAAATAGCATAATAAGTCATTTGATATCACTTGGGGCTTGGATTCCTGGCCCCAATCTCTGGTGCTTTTAGAGTAGTAGTTTATAACGTGGAATGTTTTTCATGACAACCGTCTCACGCATTGCATGCTATGGCTGAAATTTTAGAGTCTTAGCCTGAAAATAGTACCCAGACGAGGACTTTCTGCTGCTCAAGACTGCCTGAAGGGAATTTTGGGGTCCAAGCCCCTATTGCTTGCTACAATATGCAGGAGAGATCTTGCTTGCAGCAGTAGTATATTAAAACAATAACATATACTATATATGTATGTCAAATAATGACACATTAACCTGCCCGTTTCTCAGAAATCAGTGCCTGCAAGTCATATCTTTTGTTGTTGCTGTTGTTTCGTGAATCATTTCCTCCTCAGCTTAAAGTGCACCTTTGCACTATTTTCAGCTGGTTCTTTTGATCATGTCAGAAGGTGTCCAAGGCCAACGACATCAGACCGCTTGTTTATGTACAGTGTGTGCTGCTGGATAATAGGATAACGGGTCCAGCATTTTAGTCATGAAGTGTCCGAAAGTAATAGAAATAGTAATTCTTTGTAGCTCATGAAAGCACATGTTCTCTTCAACACTGAGGTATCAGATATAATACAGTGCAGCAGGAGATCTTAGAGCTGCCTCTTCTAGAGCCCTACAAGAGATATAAATATTTAAGCACTTTCTGTACAGAAGACATAAACTACAATTCAGTCTTTGCAGCTATGACTGTTGTTGGCCTAAATTACGAACAAATGCAGAGAAGGAACAATTTGATTCAAGCAGATGTCACAAATATCACCACGTATAGTTTGAACAGAGCTACTTATCCTGGCAAGTCAGCACCTCCAACTGTTGGTGAAAACCTATGAACTGTTAGTTGTCCAGAGGGGATGCTAGCTTTGGATTTGCCCTGGTGAATAATGATGCATTTCAACCAGATTCTTCTGAGAGTTGGTTTCTTCTCAAAATCTCCTAGCTAATGTAAGGATAATAGTAACTCAGGAGGAGATGGGGTTCTTAGAGGGTTATCACAGCAACAGTGTTGGAGTCTAACAGTCAAGAATGTTGTTTGGAAACATTACATTC